CCCTCTTTTCCAGCTCGGGATAACCGGGAGCCGGCGGCGCCAGGACCCCGCGGAGCCACCAGCCCCAGATGCCACCACGGGTGCGACGGTGCCACCACGGCGAGCGCCCGTCCCCTCCCCAGCCCGGGACAGCCCAAAGCCAGCACGGGACCGCCCAGCGCCCCACGGAGCCGCGGGGCCACCCCGGGCACCGGGACACGGGGACAGCGGCGGGCTGGCAGCGCCCACAGGACACTTGAGCTGCTGCCAGCCCGGCTTTGCCTTGGAGCGGCGATGGGACGGGAGCCGGGTGTGGGACAGGGACAGGGACAGGGACAGGGACAGGGACAGGGACAGGGACAGGGACAGGGACAGGGACAGGGACAGACCCCGCCCTGGGACAGGCGGGCTCGGGACAATGCCCTGAAACTGCGGATCTGGGCTCAGACTGGCTCCAAAAACGGGGATTTGGCCCCAGCAGGAATTCTCCAGCCCCCCATGGATGCAGCATTGAGGGGGCTCGCCCTGGACACTCTGAGGAGTCGGATCTGTCCATCAGCATCGCCCCGACCCCCAGATTTGGGGACATGGGGGGACAGGACCCCGAAATCGCCCTGCATTCCCCTCCTTCCCACATTTTGGGGGCCTTGCTCCGAGCTGGGAACAGCGACACTGCGGCACAGCCCCTTCCCAGCCGCCCGAGTGGATCTGATGAATGTTTTGGGTTGCTTTGGATTTTTTTTTCCAATCATTTCTTTGGGTTTTTATTTAATTTAAAGTGCCTGAGTAGACTCTGGCTGAGCCGGGCCCCCCCCCGAGGCTGACACCGTGCCTTCAGCATCGCTGGGACCCCCTGGACCCTCCCAAACCTCAGCAGGGCTGGGGGTCCCACCCTGCTCCCTTCATCCGCGGGGGGCTCGGTGCCAAACTCATCCGTCAGCTCCCGCGGCACCGGGAGAAGGATTTTTGGGGGGTGTGAGATGGCGTGGGCAGGGATTGCTTTGCAGAAGGAAATCAGCTGGGAAGGAAAAGCCTTGGAAGGAACTGGAAGGAAAAAAAGGATTTTCCTGGAGTGTCCCACGAGCTCCTCACTCTCCTTTCCATGGGATGCGGCTCCTCCAGGATCCCTGATCTGCTCCGAAGCCCGCCCTGCACCCATGGGAGCTGGGGAGTTTGGGTGGATTTCACCTCCCAGCTGTTTCTCCTCCAGTGCCAGGGCAATTTTTTACACCCTGGAATGGTTTTTTGTCCCTTCCCAAGAGGGAGGTGCCAGGGCCCGGAGCTGGGATGGGCTGAGCCCCCCACAGCCCCCCGCCACCTCCAGCCAAGCTGCGAACTCTACAGGCAATAATTTTTCCACCCTTTGCCTCTCTTTTTTCCATGGAAAATTGTGTTTTTTTTTCAGGCAGTGATCCCCCTCATCCTCCAGAACATATCCCCATCCCCAAGCCCTGGGGCCAGCAGCATCTTTGGGGTTTATTTTCCTTTCCAGGACCAAGGATGCTCCACTGACCTGCT